AATAAAGAAAGAAAAACTAAAAAATGATAATTCAGAAAATCAAAAAGAAAAAGATGAAAATAAAATAAAAGAAATAAGCGATAGTAATGAAAAAGATAAAGTGATAAAAAGAGAAAATAATGATGCTAATAAAAAAAAAGATGATATAGAAACAAAAGAAATACATAATGAAGAAAAAAAAGAAAAGTATAAAGAAAATGGGAATTTTTATAATGAAAAAGAATCTGATGATTATAAAGATATAAAATGCAATGATTATATAAATAATTATGATATCAAAAATGAATTAGAAAGCAAAGAATTAAAATGCAAAGAAAGTAAGGATAGTAAAAACGAAGAAAATTTAACAAGTAATTATTTTAATAGTGACGATTATATAAATGTGTGTGAAGGAATAAAAGAAGAAAACGTGAATAGAGATAGTGTTAATGATGAAATGAAATCTTTTGAAGAAAAAGAAATAAAAGAAAATTGCGATATTAATAAATGTGTTGAAAATAATTACACAAGTTATATGTTAAATGAAAAATCTAGAAAGATAAATGATAATTTATTTAGTGAAGAAATAATTAATAAAAATAAATTAAGCAATGATGAGACTGAATTAAATGAAAATAGAATACTTGAAAATAATAAAATGGATGAAAAAAAAAAGGAAGAAAATAAAAAAAAAAAGAATTCAAAGCTTTTAACAATTAAAAAAAAAAAAACTTTGGATATGAAGATAAACAAAGAAAATAATTTACTTTATAATTCTTACATAAACAGCAATGAAAATAAAAAAAAAAATATTCTAAATTTTATATTAAGTGATATGCAAAATAGTTTACCTGCTGAACCTAATTTAACCATATTTTGGTTATTTATACAAAATAATTATAAGAAAAAAAAAAAAGATAAAGATATGGGAAGGAAAGAATTATATTTTAATTATCAATGTTATGAAATATTGTATACAATAGAAAAAAAAAATGAACATAAAAAAAAAAAAAAGAAAGATGATATATTAAATCATCATTATTTTAAATATAATAATATTTTTTTATTACCAAAATTTTATCCAATTAATAAAGAATACACTATATTATCAAAATATATTCTAGAAATAATAAAAGATATAATTAATTATAGAATCAATTTTTTTGATTATAATAATATTTTACATATATTTAGTACATCGAAAGAAATTAATAAAATTTTAACAAATATTTTATTCTTTATTTTTAATGAATTAGACCACAATTTACGTTTCAATAATATATATGCATCACTAATGCTATTAATATTATTAAATGGTATAATTAAAAATAGAAATATTGATATTGATTTTTATTGTTTGCAGATTCTGAAAATGCTAATTCATGTAATAATTTATGAACACGAATTAAAATTAAAAAACATTTATTCTATTCTATTATTAAAAAGAAAAGCTTGCGATATTATAAATGATTTTTGCTGTATATTGAGAAAAAAAAATAATAGTGAAATTATAAATATTGACTCTTATTTAATTTATATATCAAGTAAATTATTGACACACAATAAATGCACATATATGCATATATATATATCTTATTATCTTATTTATTTAATGCCTATAAATATTCACATAAAATTTTTTTTATCCTTTACTCCAAATTTTTTATATATATTTTTTAAAAAGTATTTATATTATCAGAATGTTTATAATTCTTTTTTATCTTATGAGCAAAAAGAGATGAACGAGTTATTTAATTTTTTTTTCTTCCACATTTATACACTTATACAAGGATCACTTTATAGAATATTTAAAAGTATCAATATATTAATTATTAATTCTTCTTTATCAAATTACTTGAAATACTTACTTAATTTCATTATTGATTATGCAGATTATCATTTACCATTAATATTATCTATTTTAAATATTTTATGTAAAAATAGTTCAGTTTACAAAAATCGAAGTTTCCTACCAGAAAAAAAATATTTTTTTGATATTATGACTATAAAAAATTATGAACACAATAAGAATAATTTAAAAAAAAAAAAAAATTATTTAAAAAATGTACAAGAAATTAATAACTTTTATTTAAATGAAGAAAATAGTGATCAAGATGATAGTTATTTCGAGGATTATTTGAATGATGAAGATTTAAATAAAAATGAAATTCATAATACAAATGATAAGAAACAATATTTTAATGCATATATTAAAAAAAGAACTTTATTAAACAAAACATTATTAAAAAAAAATTTGGAAAAAAATCATTTACAGACTAATATTGCTGTTAATAATGTTTTAAATCAAATTTTAAATAAGTTTGAAAGTAATAATAAATCGTCATATTTATCAAATAAATATAGTTTTGAAGACTTTTTATATGAATCATCTTATTATTTTTTATATACATTCTAAAGTTGTTAAAAAAAAAAAAAAAATAAATAATATTAAAAATCAAAAATTAAATATATATATATATATATATATATTTTCTTGTTTATTTCCTATTTTAATTATTTTTTTTTTTTTTTTTTTTTTTTTTTTTTTTTTAT